CATGTGATCAAGCCAGGTCAGCACTCAGCAAAGGTCACTCCAACATATCTGGTAAATAGGTTTTCTATGTAAATAGCCTTATGAAGAGAACACGCTTACACGCACACAAACAAACACACACACACACACACACACATATACACACACGCGCGCACGCACGCAGGCACTGGCGTCTAGAAGGACAGTAGGTGCAAGTTTTATATCACAAATATTTGCATTAATAAATATATTAATGTATTTATTTAAACCACACACATATATACATATATATACACGTACACACGCACACACACACATACACACACACACACACACACACACATATATATATATATATATATATATATATATATATATGTATGTATGTATGTATGTATGTATGTATGTATGTATGTATGTATGTATATTATATATATATATATATATATATATATATATATATATATATATATTATATATATATATATATATATATATATATATATATATATAAATGTATCAGTCCATCTAGGTTGGCTTCCTAGAAGTCTAGATTCTGTACGGATATCGTAACCTAGAATCAACTATCTGATGTGTTTTAACGGTTAAATAAAAGCTAACGTTTCCAAAGCTGTTTTTCGCTAGAGACTTTTACTTGAGGACAGCTTCTAAAGTCACGTTTGAGGCCTTTATTTCTAAAGTAAAAAGTTTATTGAAATTAGGGAGTACTAAAGTAGGAGCTTCTGTGGAGTACGTTTTTACAAATATCAAGTTGCTATTCATTTGACCGACTAAGGAGGGTTTCTTTTGGTAAAAGAGTGTGGGAAGGTTTGGCTATATCTTTAACAAAGGTTTTTAGGATCTTTCTAAATAAAGGAAAGACTATTTGCTTGTTAGTGGAAAATTAAGAATAGCATCAACCTTCAATCTCTATATGGAAAAAAAAAAACATAAATTTCTTAGGGTTAGTGGTTAAGCCAGTTTCAGTTGTATTTTTAAAACGCCTTTAACTAATCATCATTGAAATAAAGCCATGATAACAGTCATAAGCCGAGAGAATGTTACTGATGAACTTATTGGGCCAAAGGGCATTCATATCTACCCTTGTACAGTTAAAAACCCAAATCAATTTTCACCGATATAGCGAGAGACAAGGAGACGAGGAAAAAAAAAAGTTTGAAAAGGACAGGGAGAAGACACAAAAATGCCAAAACCCACCTAGCACTCACGATAAAGAACTACTAACACACCATACTTAAGATATACCTTATTTGGCGGACGCTATTTAAGTTAGGATATGCTGGAAACATCTGCAAGTCCGAGGAGATGGCACAGAAAGTTATACATTCACTTCAAATCATCATGATCCACTCTGAATTGAACGAGACGCACCCCCTCTCTCTGAACGGCTTTAACTGTCAAGGCGTTTACCACTACTGCACGTTCAGCAAATATTTTGTCTGTTTACTAACTAAAAGTTATGGCTGTTTCATATAAATACATTTCACTGGTTGAGAACTGTGAAACCTTGTAGAGCTAAAATGCTCATGAATGATAATCTTTCTCTTTACTAGTAATAAGGTAATTTGTCCCCTCTCTCTTCAGCATATAATTGTTATTGTTTTTATTTCTCTATGAATAAATATATCTGTTCTAGGTATCTCTACCTCTATATTTTTATCTGTATGTATCTCAATTTTTATCTTTTCATAAGTATTCTAGCGAAGCTATACTTAATTACATCTCTGGGGCTGTGAAAATATTTTTTCAATCTTGTCTTTTCTATATTTGTCGCAATGAGCTCTGTTCACTATTTCCATAGGCTATATTTCCATCTATTTGTTTACATCCTAATCTCTGAATATTTCTATATCTCTATCTCTAGAGTTCTGTTCTTTGGCTATATGTTGTCATGGAAACAGATATAAACATTTGCGAATAAGAAAACAATAGATCATTTTCTGATGATTGACAAAACAATACTTGCTGCAGGGGGAAGTACGGCGGAGAGGGAACCCCCGAGATAACGAAGCACATAGCGACAGGAAGACCTCTACGTGGCAGGTTGTGAGGAGGAACGCCGGCAGGTTGAGAGAGATCGCATTTAAGCAAATTGGATCAGTGTCCCTCACCCTTTTCATGTATACATGTGTATATGATATGTCTATTTATCTATGTATATTTATACATAGAATGTAGTGTTTTTCTTTTCCATACTATACACGGAGATTTTAAACTGCAGAATCACCTGATATTGAATACAAAACAATATGTCAGTCATAACTTTGATAAGATTGAGAAAATGGCACGTATATTTTCCAAATGTAGTTAAAATGATGAAAGTATGGACGACACATTCATTCCCACATGTCTCCAGCTTCGAGATTTAAATAGGAGATATTGCAGAGCACCAGCCAAACGAAGAAAAAATAAATAAGGCGTCATAGAACATAGACTTACCAAAGGGTTTCTTTTAGCAAATGCAGACGCGCCTTCACCCAACCGAGACACAACTTCAACTAATCTTGCGAATAAGTTCACATTGCGATTTATCACACGCACAACAATCACTTCAAAAACTATTATCTAATCCCTAATAAAATAAAGGAAAAAGTGAAATAAATGAAAGTGACGAAGAAGAAAATACGCACAGATGCAAACGCAACTCAAAATTATTGTGAAAGAAGAGACAAAGAAGAGATGGAAACGAACTGAAGAAGATGAAATAGGAGCAAGATATTCGATTAGGAGAGATGATGAATAGGGCCTAAGAGAGTCAGAGGAATGAGATAGTGGAAGTAATCAGGAGCTGAGGACTATATCGTAGCAGGGGTGGTGTGTGTGTGTGTGTGTGTGTAATGTGTGTAGATATATCTATATACATATATTATATAATTATATATATATATTATAATATTATAATACATACACACACCAACACACAACACACACATGCAACACACATAACACAATATATATTATATATATATATATATATATTATATTATATATATATATATATTATGATATATATATTATATTATATATATAATATAATATATATTATATATATTATATATATATATATACATATATATATATATATATATATATATATATTATATTATATTATATACCTGTATATAGTACATATATAGTATATAATATTATACTAATATACAATACATATATATATATTAATTATATATATATATATATTATATTATATATATATATATATATATATAATATATATATATATATATAATATATAATATATATATATATATATATATATAAATATATACTATAACATATAATACATACATTATTATATATATATATACATATATATTATATATTATATATATATATTAATTATATAATATATATATATATATTATATTATATTTACATACATTACTATCATATCATACATATATATATATTTATATATATTATATATATATATATATATATATATATATATACCATTATATTTATAATATATATATTAATATATAATATAATATATATATACAATTTAATAACCTATACTTATATAGGTATATGTAAATATGTGTGTGGTTTTCTTTCAATATTTTTTCAATATAATTTGAAAAACTAATTACGCAAAGACGAAGTTTTCCCAAGAGATACATAACCCACAAGCGACTTGAACACTTACGTGCAGAAGTTACCAACGAAGGAACGAACAGAGAGCGCCGAGAATGCGAAGGTCCTTCCCTCTTTTGCTACTTCTTTGTTTGTTGCTTTTCTTATTGTGTCTTCGTACTGTTTTCGCGACGTGGCGATCTGAGCATGCTTTTGTCCGCGATGCCTCTGTAATCAAATTCTGCGATATCTAAGGAAAGAATATTCTTAATACATACATAATAACATACATTAATATAATATAATATATATATTTATATAATATTATAATAATATATAATTATATATATATACATTTTTCTTTTTTTTACTCTTGTAGTCGGAATATCCGTAGTCCACTTCACTTACACTGACTCGGACTACAACAGCCTCCCTACATTATAACTATGCGGAGTGCTTATCTTTTGTAGAGTTCAGTGTTTCTCCCTCTACTTGAGACAGCTGTATCTTTAGCTGGTTGTAGCCGGGGTGTTGCAACTGTCTCCAAAGCATGTTGCTATCCCTTGACAGTATGAATATTGAAACAAATATAAGATAGAAACAGATAATACTATATGAAATTTTGATAATGTTTACCGCAGCTGAAGTACTTCGTATATATCTTACGTAAGGACCCCCACCCTGTTCGCCTTTAAACCTGTCTCTGCCCAGCACTCATTTCAGTGTGTCGGCGCAGGGACGAGAGAGTCGCGACATGACCAAATTTGAGTCGAACACCGCAGGAGGATTAACTCGGCCATATCAGTGGCGACTCGCTCTGCACCAGTCACGTCGCACCTTGTCCCCTGCCTTGGCATAGCAAGCGACAATTCATAATGATAATGCCTCGGAGGTGAGACCCTTTTAGAAATCAACGGCAAAAAAATATATATGTGTGTCTTCAGTGTGGTTCCTCCTCCTGGCGCAGACTGCTTCCAGGACTCTCCACTAAGTTGTCAGCAGGTGAGAGGAGAGTCAGCATTGTCAGCGTGAGACATCCTTTATCTCGTCTCGTGTCTGCATACAGGTAAGCCTTGTCATACGTAAAGTAATAAATGGACTATACTTTTGTGAAGGATGGTGTATTATTTCTGGAGCATTTTACCGATTCCGTCAATTCAAAGTTCAAAGTTAGTTCCATAGCCACGGGGGACGTAGCGGCCACGTTCGTAGAGAAACATGTTGACTAAGCCTCGAGTTCATGCGTAGGGTGGCCAGGTCCTTATATGATATAAGTATATATGAATGGAAAAACACTCTACCGTGTTGATACTATGGTGGAAAATCCCACAATGCACAAACTAGGATTATTGAAGAAAGTGAGACAACAGTTTCGGAATAGTCCTCGATTCCATCTTGGGGTCTGTATATGTATATGTATACTCGCACACACACACACACACACACACACACACACATATATATATATATATATATATATATATATATATATATATATATATATATATATATATATATATAGTGTGTGTGTGTGTTATTCTATTAATTTATCTCTTACCTGTGACTCTGCTATATAGATTTCGATCATAAATGCTGCTTGTATTACAGGGACAAGTACCTCAACGGCGCCCCGATCTCGGCCTACGACTCCGCGTGGCGGGCGGCCACGAGCAGCGGGCAGGCGTGGGAGACTCGCTGGGCCTCCTTCTGGCTCCCCGCCCTCGTGTCTCGAGGCGACATCGCACCCTCTCCTTGGCTTTCAGAAAGGTTCGAGAGCGTGAGGAACGTGTCCAACCCGTGCAAGCTATCACTGCTCTTCAACACCGGCAGCCTAGAAGAAGCGCTGGTGCCTCATAGAGAAAATAAGGGGCGTTATAAAGGGTCTTTTCTACAACGCCTCCTTCAGCTTTCCGGATTTCCTTCATCACGTTCTGTGGTCTCGAGATCACGGGCTTCTCGACAAGCACTGGACGCCCCAGACCTGCATATGCAACCCGTGTGGGGAAAAATACGACTACATCCTGCACATGGAGAACATAAGCCAGGAAGCCAGACTCGTGTTTGATGACGTAGGGATAGATCCGGCCGTAAATATCGGGCATTTCCACACGAGCACAACGAGTCTTCGGGTTTCTGACGAGGCCTATTTTGGCAGTGTTGCGAAAGAAACTGTGGCCGAGATACGACATTTGTTCAGTCAGGACTTTGATCTTTTGGGTACACGTAATTTTTATTATAAGATCATTTGGCAAATACTCTTCATTTTCTCTCATTTCTCTCTCCGCATAGTGATATAGAGAAGGGATCGTGCGCTGTCGTTTCGCTCCTTTTGGTATAGGAAGTCCTTGTTCCAAATATTGTTTCACTCAACAAATATCAAGATACTCACTATACATGGCATTGTATAGACTTGAATAGGTTGATAATTTCCATTCTCGAAAGGACGTGAGATTTTAGATATATATATTTTTTAATGTTTAAATCATTGGAATACTAAACTCTTGGTATAGAACCATGATCTTGATATTGATAATACTATTTGATTAAGCAATTACTCACGCTTTGCTACCTTGTCATCCGCTACAAGATCATAGCTACCTACTCGCTTTAATATTAGTTAACCGTGTGTCCTCTCCTGTGTGTGATTTTTTAAGTGCATCAGATATTGACCGCACCTGCTTTTGATTTTTCTGTTTGCAAATTGTGTAGTTGCACTGTATTCTTTCTAATTCCTAAGAACTGAACGATGTGTCTTTAACTGTGTATATTCTCTATCTATCTATCTATCTCACATATACACACATATTTATACATAAAGATGGAAATATTGATAGATAACTTAATAGATGAACATATAGATCAATAGATGAATATATCAATACACAGTAGAAACAAAATACGAAAACTTCGAAGTACAAAGTTTTCGTAAAAGAAATTATTCTTCCTTATATCATATAAAAAAGGTCAATAGAAAACCATTAAACTACTTAATACGCAGTTATTTTCATATCAAAAGGAAAACGCCAAGGATGCTTCCAGTAGAATGTTAAAAGTACCTGAATAATCGTATTCTGTGACTTCGCATCGCATCCATTGTCACTTGTTTATCATTACGATTTTTGAGGTGTAGAGACGGCACCAAAATTAGTCTAGGGGTGACATTTATGAAAGAAATGAAGCAGTCGAATCAAAAGTAAGGTGCAGAAAAGAAAATTCATGAATATTAGTAGGGAGGGATTGGTGGTTTTATTACCTAAGGATTGGCGTGGTCAGGAATTTAGTGAATTTGATCTTGGTATATTTCGGCAACACACACACACATACGTTCTCGTCTTGCTGTCTTGCGTTCAACTCCCCCCCCTGACAGTGGATGGCAACCCCGGCCATTCCTCGCACACAGGGGTAGTTTAGAAGCATAATAAACAGACAAACCACAATTTGGCTGATGTCACAAGAGCCTGTCCCACCAAACCCTAAATTATTATTACACATATATAAGCACAAACTCTCTTTTTCCTCACCCCCCCCCCTCTCTCTCTCTCTCTCTCTCTCTCTCTCTCTCTCTCTCTCTCTCTCTCTCTCTCTCTCTCTCTCTCTCTCTCTCTCTCTCTCTCTCTCTCTCTCTCTCTCTCTCTCTCTCTCTCTCTCTCTCCTCTCTCTCTCTCTCTCTCTCTCTCCTCTCTCTCTCTCTCTCTCTCTCTCTCTCTCTCTCTCTCTCTCTCTCTCTCTCTCTCTCTCTCTCTCTCTCTCTCTCTCTCTCTCTCTCTCTCTCTCTCTCTCTCTCTCTCTCTCTCTCTCTCTCTCTCTCTCTCTCTCTCTCTCTCTCTCTCTCTCTCTCTCTCTCTCTCTAGTCTCTCTCATATATATACTATTTTCATTTTTACTAATATTTCTACGGTTAAAATG